ATGTGCCCGTCGTTTATAACAATATGATGTAATATTGTACGGCGTGCGATGCGTATTATAATAATATTATACGTGTTGTGCGTTGTTTTTTTTTTCCTACTCATGTCGGTGTGTCTGTGACTCCGCGCGCGCGCGCGCTTGTGTGTGTGTGTGTGTGTGTGTGTGTGTGTGTGTGTGTGTGTGTTGGGGTGGACAGATATACAGAGTATACTCAAATAATTTTGTGTTTACAAAAATATAAAAAATAAAAAAAACGTTTGTTTTTGCTAAACAGACGCGATAAAATTACTGGCCGGATTCGAGTGCTCTGAAAAATAGCCAAACATGTCCGTGAAAAAAATATTTTATAATGACCTTGAAAATCGACAATCGAAATTATTTTTATCTCAGTGCAATGTGTCGTTATAGGCGTCCAAATAACGTTTATTAAAAAAAAAAATAACCAACATTCGATCGATTAATTCGATCAATCGCGGATTATGCGGATACGTGACATCAACCGATTGACAGCTTGCAGTGTAGAAAATCCAGAAAAATCTATTGAACTTGACACCGAGAAAAACAATTTCATATTGATTACATGTATCTTTAGACAATATTATGGTAAGTATAGGTATTCGCACAATGTAAGTCAAAACAAACAGAATCACCGAAAAATGAAAAATGAAAAAACATCCAAATATGCACAAAACGCGAAATAAAAGTTTCACCGTTGAAGTCATCTGTTTCGTATGGTAAACAGTGTACTTGGAAGGCCAATGCCTTCTAAATCACCCGAAAAAATGCAATTTGCATTCTAAATCTAGTCCCTTATAATAATTTTAGTATCGTCGTTTATTTCATCGTTTTAAAAATGTTTATTTTTTATCAGTTTAACCATTTTTTAACGTACACTTATATCGTATAATCTTTAGTTTAACATGAACGCAACACATTCCATGATCAATGAAATACTTAAATAAGGGATTAATTATTAGTCTTATATTTATTAAAACGCAAAGCGCTTTTTTTAAATAAAATGAATACTAATATAATATCATCCTTTATCAGTGTTGTAAAAGATATTGTAAAAGTATTAAAAATGTACAAACACGAGTGTAGATGCCTACTCATTTTGATAAGTGTTTTAAAATACGTGTTTGAAAACTAAGTAAAAAAAAAAATACTAGAGTGCATTTGAGCTTTTAAAAAATATTTATAGATTGGTACTTTCAATTTTATTCTAAAATATATTTTTTTAGGTAAATCAACTGAACCGTTTTTCATGATTAAACTTTAATTTTATAGAGCATTTTACACCGTATCATTTGGTGGAACCTTAAAATACCTATCGGTTTCACAGTAAAAAAAATATACCATATTATTATATAATATTATATTCTCAATTTATAGTTTTATTTAACGAGTTCAACTTTAAAATAGAAAATATATGAACTAAAATGAATACGTATTTGATAGTTAATAATTTATTTTAAACACAGGTCCTTTGAGAAAGCATTAAAAATATGTGCTCGAGTATTTAAAAAGAATTTGAATACTTTTACTTACATACATTTACCCACGTACTTTACAAGACTGCCTTTATTTAATAAAAAAAAAACTTTAATAGTATTAACATAGATGCCTATTCTTTACCGCTGGTAGGAGACGCTGATGAACCGTTGGTGTTTAATTATGTGATTGAAATTATCTTCAAATATTTTTTATTAGGATGATAATAGGACATATTTAAAAAAACGAGAAATTAAGCTTTCCGAAAGCTTTGGTGTAGTGGCAACGAGACGGACTTTTAAAATATGGATCTTTCCAGTACACAAAACTGGACGTTTGGCCACCTTAGTGTATGTTTGTGGATGTGTGTAATTGTGTAAGAATAAGAAATCCTAAAAGATAACATCACGATGATAACAATTAAATAAATATAACAGGCAGTGTGTTAGTTTTCATTAAAATGTCCTTAAAGTTGTAACGTGCAAATGATGAAAGTGTTATAATTTCTTATATTAATTTCGTATCAAGTAACTGCACTTTAACATGCACTTAACACTTACCGATTTCTTTGAGTAGTTATTTGTTATTGCGAATTGAATTGTTCTTATAGTTTATTAATACAAGACCATACTATAAGTCAGAACTATTTATAATTGATAAAATACATGTTTTATTTATCGCGCATATAGGTGCCTATATAATCATATTTTAATATTTTTTCATACTTACAGTCATTTAATTTCTAATCATATAATAATAACAATTTAGCAATGACATACCGACCGGGCAACTTCAACAATTGATTATGTAAAAAAAAATACTTTAAAATCAAATTCTCAAAGACAGTTGAAAATCATCAGAAAATGTCGATGGAAATAAAAATGTTTGAGCTTTCATCTCTAGTAACATTTATTTATATAAATCTCAGTACTTTCTGATAATATCGGGGAATGTATGTCATATAATACATTATACCTACTGTCTTTGGGTCTTCAGTCTTCACCCAGTATTGTGCTACGACAATGGCCTTTTTGATTCACCTGTAAATACAGTATTTTTCGGATCCTTTTGGTACGTGTGTGTACGTACTCTGAGCACAAGTGTAGGTGGATCGTGCTTTGATCTTGGACACCCGAGCCGGTCGTATTTCCATCAGTTTGTACAGTCCACAATAAAAAAAGTAAATAATATTATTATATCAATAGGTAAAAAAGAACTACGAAATACAAAACATTTATAGAAAAATATATGTGGAAAATAAAAATTCCGTGGAATTCATTTCAAATCTATGTCAAACTCATAGTTACAAAACTCATTTTTTATATTTTATCCTGGGTGGCAGCAGGTGCCCGTATAATATTTCTATAAGATTGTAATTTTCATAGCCTATTGACTTTTTTCAAGAATATTTTCATCAAAAATCGTATTTATAATTATGTGCGCAACGAAAAAGCCAGTAACCCACATCAACGAACCCTATGGAATATGAAATCTGACAAAGATGTAAAAAAAAATGATCTACAGCTGAGTAAAAAATAAATTGTAGAACGAAAGACTAAAAATGAACACTAAATTAAATGAAATAAAAAGACAGTAGAAAAATGGAATAACCTAATGTCTCTCAAAAGAAGAGAAAAAGTTCTATTAAATCGCCTCAGAATTGACATCACACACATGGTCAACTAATGAAAAAACAGCCACTAAAAACATGTCTTACAGTCAAACATACCATTGCCGAGCCGAACGCGGAGAAACGAAAAGGGTTCGACAAAAATGCAATATGCCTGAACACCTTCACGACGCACTGGGCCCCGACGAATAATCTATCAAAAAAAAAAAATTTTACTTGTGAAAGACATTGGATTGTACAATTTATTTTTAATCATTTAAGACCATATGATGTAAAACAAGCCAACGGTCACGTCATCGAGACTTTTTCTTTGATAAAAAGAAAACAATTATATGCGCATTACTCGATTATTAAGTAGCAAAATAAATAAATACGACAACGTCGTACGTAAATTCGTTTACGTCAATCGTATTGGTATTTTTAGCTGTTAGTTCTTTGTTCGTTCTTAGAACAGCAGTTCGGCCCCAAAAAGGTCCTAAACCTGTGACGTTCTCGATCGTTCGAGAACCAATTTTTTTTTTAAATAAAAAAATACAGCTTAATACAAAATTCTAGAGACCGGGTAAAAAAGTTCGAGGTATCGACGATTTTCAGTCAACAAAGTTCGAGTCGAAGACTGTGTCTGATGTACATACCGAAAAGCCGCCACCCCCGCCACCCCCAAGAGTCTGCCGGTGTCGTTGGAAGCGAGTGGCTTGATACCGCGCTTGTTTCCTGTTACCACAGTTCTGGTATCCGGACTTCGAACCAAGCCAAAACTAGTCGAAAGACCGCCGCGGGTCTTCGTGCAATGTTATAATTATTATACTCCATCGATTAGTCACACAGTGGGTACACCTCTCACGCGCACGATAATAATACATTATATATACCTACTCACATGATTAATTAGCCGGGTATATCAAATAGGTACAAATTGACATACATATGATCAAGTTTGTATTATTTGTATTTTATATAATAAATTATAGGGCGTGACAGTAAAACAAGATTGTCTTGAAAAAAATAATCGCTTCAAATATTAATTCACTCCAAAAAAGTTTGAAAAATGTGTTATAATAATTCCATACATTTCTATAAAAAGTTATTCCTTCGTCGCCGAAAAGCTCAAAAGTGTACTACGAGGTTCTTGATAAGATGTTATCATACCTATTTAAAAGTATTAAACACACATAGGCACGATTTTATTTTTTATAAATCAGCATTTAAAGTTCAAATTTTGACAAAACTCATTGAAACATTCAGAACCACAACATTGTGCAACGTATTTCGTAGCGTGTAATATGTTCAACTTATTTAGCTGTCTTGACAATCTAATATTACAAGGTTTCTTGTAAGTAGTTCATACAGTAATCTAAAGATTCTTGATAGTCTTAGGATAATAATTAAGTGTGCGAAAAAAAAATGGAAAAACCATTTAATCCATTCATTTCGAATTGATATTATGTGAATTCAGAGGTTAATTTTTTTAGTAGGGAGGCTATGCATGATTTTAGAGTTGCCTTAGCCACTCCCGCCTCCTCTTTTGGAGTTTAAATAATGGTAGTCCCATCTGTGTCATTATCTATGTCCAATATTTTTTTTTATATTAATTATCAGATTTTAGGTAAATGTGATAACTGCTTATAAGGTAATTATAAATAGGTATTAATATGGTATGTAAATACACAGCCATACGTATCTGGCTGCAATAGAATAGATTAATAACGTTTCTGTTTTAAAATATGCTTAAAACGAAATAATTTTCCTCGGCCATAGTGACGAGATTTATTTATTCAGTAAATTAAAGTCTAAAAAATTAATTTTAAACCAACAATAGCAAAAATTTACATTCAACAAAAATTTACATTTCATCGAACTCAAACCATTCAAGGCCACAATGACACATAACTGTAGGCAGATACATAAATCCGAAGGGTGTTGCCGGCGAGATAAAAATATGATTAAATGTGCCACGGCGGCTATAAACCAGATGAAGACGATGTTCGACACGGCTTGGTGCCCAATCAAACAAAAACCGGACAAACGTCGAGGCAAATACAATGGTTGTGTAATAGATCCCGTATGCAACATCAGAGAATGTCCATTCCGTGGAACCGGAGTGGCGCCAAACGTAAGTAATTGTGAAAATAATCGTTAATTCGTAAAAAATAAAATGATATAGGTATAACTTTTTAAGTACCTACTATGTACGACTCGGGCGCGGATCTAGCATACTTTATTAACTGGAGAGGCGGATTATAAATATCTAAATGTATTTGCTATTTACCAACTGGTAAATACGAGTATATATTTACATACATATATATATATAATTGCTTATTAATTATAATGAATATTTTTTTTCTTAAGCTTAATTGAATGCCTTTATTGAATTATTTACCCTCAATCGGTCATAATACTGTTATCAACAATATTTATAAATGTGTGTTATTAAAATAAAATACGACGATTTGTGACTGAATAATATTGCAATACATTACCATATTATAGGATAACACAAAATATTAAATTTAAATAATACCGTCAACGGGGGGGGGGAAGTCGCCCCTACTGCCCCCGACTGGATCCACGCCTGGTACGACTGTGTATTAATATATTAGGCGTGCATAGTGCCGGAACTACTTTAACCAAAAAACAACACTGGGTTACTTACACAATTTAGGAAACTAAATTTTTATATAGGTGCTCTTCCTCCTATCTAGTAGACAGGAGGTTGGGCCAATTTGGTTTCAAAATGTTAGTTATTCATTGTTTTGGCGCTTCACCTCATACCTATCGTAAGACTGTAACGATCGAAAACGATCTAATTTCGTAGAACGTTTTTTAAGATGTATAAGTATTCATAATCAATGATATAAGCATGGTAACCTAACCTAACCTACCCAAACAATATGATCGAAATTAGTCATACCTATAAATGTTATCGAATTTGTGTACGCGATTCGCCGAGCAGGTCTTGGAGACTTATTGTACCAAGAGCAAAGACAGGACTGGCAGCGGGGTTGCGGACCGTGACGCCATGCGGCTGATGCCTGGCGACGTGGGCCTGCGCGGTGACCGGGCCACTTTCTCGTTGGTCCGCGACGATGGCTTGCCGCACTACCAGGGCACCAACGACCACGGCGCTGTGTATTACAACATGCGGCCAAGCGGTAATCAGGTGGTGGTTGAGCAAGACGACGAGCCGGATGGCGATCACTCGCAGATGTACGAGCAGGAGCAAGAGATGGATCAGGATCAGGAACCGGACCAGGACCGTTATCTGGACCAGGATCAAGACATGGATCCAGACCAGGAACACGATCAAGATCAGGACCAGCAGGTGGACGAGTCCGGAGACCAGGCGAAGGAGCGCAAGCATGTGATGGAAATGCTGCCCGCGTCTGTGAAACCGGCGCTCGGACCGGTCACCGGGCTGCCGGTGGGCGACGACGAGCACGTCTTCGTCCTGTGGTTGGGCAAGCGGCCAGGCGAACCGGACGAGAAAGCCAGGCTACAGATCGAGGTGCGCGTGCCGAAGCGGGTGCCGGAACCGGAGGCGGCGCCGTCCGAGCCGGAGGTCGTGGAAGTGCCGCCGGAAGTGAACAAGGGTGGCAAGAAGAAGAAGCGGCGCGGTAGCTCCAAAAAGAGCAACAGCTCTAAAAAGAGCAACCGCTCCAAAAAGAGCAACCGCTCAAAGAAGAGCAACCGCTCAAAGAAGAGCAACCGCTCGAGGAAGAGTAACCGCTCGAGGAAGAGCGGAAAGAAATGATGAAGCCGATTCGACCGTAACATTACGATAATATATCGCAGCAACTGGCCATCGCAGCGACGGCGTCCAACGTCCAAGGAACCCGTGCCGACGACGGACGTAATTCAAAATGTGTACACATAACGACAGGCGAAAACGGCACGGGTCTGCTGCCCCTTGCCGCACATAAAATACACTTCTTTCCAAACTTTTTCCGAACCGACGTTTAGCTTGTATCATGATGTTTGTTTTTTTTTTAATACTGACGGTCTCGAGACTCATTCGTAATCCGTTTGTTTGACGAAATCCGTTGTCCTATTTAAATACGCCCGTGTCCCACAACCGCCTCTGCACGAAATATACATGCGAGTTGAAAGATTTTTTTAAAAATGTTTTGAAAATGCGAATGTGATATGCAATGTGGTCGCAACACGACGAACAAACCGGTAAAATATATTATTAACCTCCGACCTGCTGTAAATTACGAGTGTACTGAACCTTCGACCTGCCGACTGTACACTATATTAATTATCCAGTGATAGGTAAAAATCGATGTCTTGTGCCTAAATGATTTTTTTTTTTTTGTGCAAAGGCTTATCGTCGTGTGTTGTATGTACTTACTTTTATTGCGATGATTATAAGCACGAGCAAAACGTGAACAACTAATTTTAGACAGTTTCGTGTTTCACGAAATCTTCAAAAACTAAAATATTATATAACAGACACTTTTTATCATGTCAGACACACTTGTTGTATACAAGCACGGAGAGTAATATTAGTTAAGTAAATTTAGTTTTATCCCGACGTGTTAAGTTACGTATACGATGGATTTTTTTTCGCTGTCTAAACTTTCATATATCATGTGTAACCGCTTACCCGGTATGTTTCGTGGGGCTTTACTCGCCAAAAATTTACCCGCAGTTGTGCCGAACTGTTATAATATGAAAACGTTTACTTGAACGCTGTGTTGCGGGCCAATAATTTATTATTGAACAAAGTGTTATACGATTATAATATTTATAATGCGTCCAACGTTTTTTAATATTTACAAAATCACTTTGCATACTTTTCTAGTGGCACGATGCTGGTTTCGGTACGAATCTGTTTCGAGTTTAAATGTTTTGTTGAGTATATATAGGCAAGTACCGAATTGTATTTGGCTAGGTATACATACAAAGCCTAACTAGTTTAGGACAGTGTAGCTCTATTAGAGGGGTGAACAATTTATAAATCAGACTAATATAAATAGATGAAAAAAATAAGAAAAACTATTAAATTAGGTTTTCGGTTTTTTTTTTTTTTTTTGATCTATGTATGACAGGTACCTGATATTTATGTTTATGAGCAAAGCGTCATACTAACAAATGAATGTGATTCACTCATTTTCATATAACTTTGCGTTTTGATGTTATTATTTTTTCGGGAGTCTAGGGAAAACAATATTCTCAGTAGAACTTATTCACAAAAAAGTTTCGCTATCCCTGTTGTACAGGTATATATACTGTAGATGTACACGGACTGCAAAACAAAATTATAAAAGTTGTAAGATACGGCGGAAGAGTGAAACGTATGGCGGTTGGGGGGGGGGGGCGGCGGAATCAGCGCCAATTTATAATTTGGTGGAAAATTGACTCTGCGGAAAAGAGAAAGGTGTATTTTTGGCGGAAACCGGCCATGCCCCTGAACAATATATCTAATGATACATGTGCTTATAAAACAACATTTAGGCGGTGAAAAGCTTATGTACCTATACGATAATATTTAGCATATTATTGTAACTCTCGATACTTAAAAAAAATAATTTGTAAATACTCGCATGCATGTGCATACAGGGTGTAACAGAAATACCCGACAGATAAAAATAACAAAGTGATATTATATTAGTTAAACGCGTACGACAAAAATCACGGAAACAATGGTAAATTATTTCAGAAATAAACTCATTTCTAGGAATCCCAAAAAGATTATTTAAGGTATTACATTTTTATGAAAATATTTAATTCAATTTAAAATTGTTGACTTCCTTCGTTAAAATAAAAAAAAAAACGTCTAAATATTTATTGGCACAAAAGTTATTTCATCCGTCAAGCCTTTCTGTTACACCTTGTATATTATAATATGCGTGCTCAGACGAATTATAATTATGTGTAAAGAATAATAACACCCACCACGGGGTTGTATTAAAATTATTATTATTCGAATATTAGCCCGTCGGCCGTCTCATTACTATATTACACTAGAATAAGTGTACAGTGTACACATCTTCACACCAAACATGATCTGTCCAGGGCAGCATTTTTGATTGTTAAAATAAAATGTAAAATGTTTTTTTTATTTTAAGAAGAATTTAAATACTTTTTTATGATTAAAGATTTAAAGATTAAAATAAATACGAGATGATTTTTAATTTAATATTTATTTGAAGTGTACAGTGTAAGTGTACCTACATAATGTAAAGTAATGAAAAAATATTATAATAAATTAATAACAATGAATTTAAAACATCTATAACGCAACATTGTTATTTTTTAGTGTACATTTTAGATTTTCAATTCAAGAACAATTTTCTGTATTTTTTTAGTGCAATAGGTACTGCAATCGATTTTAATAGTTTTTAATGTTCTCTCAGTCTTTAATGTTGTTCACGTGAAAGTAATAATAAATAAACAGTCCGAATCGACATTCGACTGGCCTTTTGCTTAGTTAAAACTTTTGTTCTCATTTGTTAAATAGCGAAATTTTCATTTGAATTCGAATGCACATTTTACCATTTGGTGAACATTCCGAGTGTTATTAATTTAGCGAATTACAATTAAATTATTTTAAATTAGCTCAAAAGAATCAAAATATTTCGAAAATTTTACCACAATACAGAAAATGTCAATACAAATATTTATTGAAAATATAAAGTGATTAAGATTATTGAATTTTGAGTTTTGGGAAAAAAATTAAAATCGGTTTTTTCAAAAATTGGTTTTGCATAAAAATTACAATTTTTTTCGATTTTCATCTCTCGGAGGTATCGAATCGAATTCACTTTTCCATCAGAAACTATGCTGATATCGCGATTAGGAGCATTTTTGCCTATACCCGAACGTTCAGAAAAAAAAAACAAAAATCATTGTAAAATCAATACGTTCATTCGCTACGCTCAGAATCGAAAAACAAATACATATATTATGTACAAGTGAAATATAAATCAAAGTCAAAATTCATTTCAAGTTCTGGAAAAATCACCGTGCGAAATTATTGTTGCTGTGACAAAACCAAAAACGATATCTCCGCGCCACGTCCGTCGTACAATATTATACCCGTGTCAATAAACGACGATAGTAAAATATAATAAATTAATAAAATATGTTGAAAATAATATTGTCGCTCCGCAACGCTGTAATGAGACGTGACGTTCGATTTGTTTGTATATTGTACGGTTTGTCGCGATCCGGGACGATGGATTGGCGAGATGGTTTTTTTTTTTTTAATATATTATATTTATTTCACCAGGACCCTGGCCGCCCCAGGATGTTTTCGGCGGTTCGGATATTAAACGCCGCGGCGCGAAAATTGCGCAATAAAAACGATTTAACGAGGAATCTGCGCCGCAGCGCAGCGTCGTAACGACCGTCTGTCTGTTTGCGTTATTATTTTTATTATTATGGAAAGAACGAACTCTCCTCGAGAGTAAACTCGGTCCGTTCCAATTTATTTCGGTATAATATTATAATATACAGTGTAGCCAAGCACGCTCGTTCCCATGTTTTCGTTTGTTTGTTAAAAACCTTGAATTTCGGAATTTTTAAATAAACCTACCGTCATCTTATTGAAGACCACTTCCCAAATTCTCGAGATATTTCGTACTACTTGAGGAGGGGTGTCCCGCGGTGATGCAGACTTTTGCTATTCAAATGAACCCTCCACACATTCGTTTACTGTAAATAATTTGTGAGTGGTTATTTTTTTGAAAATGTTGATCTAATTACTAGCCAGTTGAAAACTTGAACGTGCTTCTCGGTTATGAAAATACGTGTTCTAATGATATGAAAGTGCTTAAAAAAAAATTCACAATGACTAAAAATAGATTCAATCTGACTATTCGTCGATCGAATTACGAATTAAAGGGTGCTTAGAGAGAGTTCCTGCGTCCCATTTAAACATAAATTGCCCCCCGCACGAAAATACGCCTAATAATCGACTGCTTGATCCGAGCAGCATTTCATAATCGCCTTCAAACAGCTAATCTATCATTCCTGACAAAACTTTAATTACTACTTTTATCTTAAAAAAGAGAAAGTTAGTAAATGTACAGAACACTCCTCGAGTATTAAAAATATCGCCGGAGTTGCCATATATACTATAGTACATTTACTTAAAAATTTGGATTTTGTCTTTCGTTAATTTATTTATTCAAATTCTGGTTTTTGTAATTGTTTAAGATAACTCCTTGAGCTTGTTTGTACTGCTTAGGGACTTAACTGCTACAGACGTGTCCTGTGGTGATACAAACTTCTGGTTTTCAAATGAGAACCACCAATTTTTTACTGTGAATTATCTAGAAAATAATTTTTTTTTTACAATTTGATATACCTGCGGTGTAACAACTTCTGCAGACGACGAGGGTTTATACAAATAGAATATTATATTAAAAATATTATTTTATTTCAGATGTCTAAGCAAATATAATATATACTGTCCTGAGGTACTATTTTATGTTAATTTATATTATTAGTATTATGAAGATTTTTTAATTAACCGTCGTACTAGCTACGATGGAGTGTGTGTATAATTTTAATCCACCCCGAGTGATGATTAAATATCAAATTAAAATACCGTTTCTAAGAAAAACCATGGCTACGTGACAGCTTATTAGCATTTTCCGCTGAATGAGATTTTGAACATGTTTCTACAAAATTGTCCGCAATTTCTATACTCATAAAATCTGTAACTCCAGTAAGTGTACTAATACCTATCGATAAAACGTTTAAGAATATTAAGAACATGTCTATTTAACTGCTGTGTATTTT